TGCACATCTACCCGGACAGAGACTCTCAAGCAAAATCTTGCTCTGATTTAGATTTGGTAAAACTGTGTCAAGTTACCTTCAGAGCCTTGATAGAGATGTGATATTATAATTACTGTCGTGTATTTGTTAACTTGAGGGCTTTTTGAGACAGAATTGAGGCAACGCAAAACAAGATGGAGCTTCACCTGATACAGCTGCAATCTGTTGCTGCCTTCCACGCTCCACCTGCGCCCCACAAACCACCCAACACAGAGGTTTTCTGCTATGAATCCCTTCACCAGGAGATGGTGCTCCTGTCCCGGCAGTCAGCTCTGCTGCAAGCCGGACCCTTCCCGCTGCTCCCGGCTTGGTGGGTTGATGGTGCCCGGTCCCTTGCAGCAACCCAGAAGCAGATGAAGCAGGGGGTGGCATGTATGTGCGCCCCCTGTTTGCCCCCGCTGCCCCCCACATCTCATCAGTGTCCCCAGCATGACTGGTATGGGACCAGAGCTCCCACCTGTTCATACCTCACACCTCATGCTGTTAGCTGTGTTTAGAAGGGATGGATCCACCTGTTGATTCCTGCCCGAAGGGATATTCCCAACAAGGAGAGAATATCCCCTACTTACAGGGGACAGACTTGCTTTGCCAGATCCCTGTCATATAGAGAATTATTGGGTTGACCTTACGGACTTCAGCTGATGTAGCTCCAGTGGGCTGATCTATAGCTGAAAATATGAGCGTTGAATTGAATATGAGAGCAAAACTCATGTTTGACAAGGAATAAACAATACCAAGGTATGGGAAGGTAACTGAAAGGGAAAATATCTCCCAGCTGGGTTCCTTGGTTAGCGCTGTAGGAACCACCTTTGGAGGTCTCGCTCCCCTTCCAAAAGATAAGAATCATAGACTGGCCTGAGTTGAAAAGGACCACATTGATCATCTAGTTTGAACACCCCAACTCCCCCCCCCCAGCTATGTGCAGAATCGGCAGCCACTGCCCAGAGCCACATCCAGCCTGGCCTTGAACACCTCCAGGGATGGGGCATCCACAGCATCCTTGGGCAACCCTTCCAAAGGGCTTTATTTTTCCAGAGATGGCTGAACTCTTGGCAAAGTATTTCTCTATATCTCCTGGCCCTTAGCTAGAGCATAGTGGTCAAATAAAAAGTGGTGGACATTCAACTCAGAGCAGTGTGTGCTCTCTGGGCCCGAAGCAAAACATCCTACAGGACTTTGGATCCATCTGATGTTGCATGCATTGACTTTGTACCTTAATTTGTCTTACTTTCCCTGGCTATCCCTGTACAGACAATCAGAAAAAAATCAGCTTGGCTTCAGTTTTGGTAAGTTTTGGAAAGACTTGCTGGGAACATGGTTAGTGGGCATGGTGGTGATGGGTTGATGGTTGGACAAGATGATCCTAGATGTCTCTTCCAACCTGAGTGATTCTATGATAAGATTTGGAAAGAAAATGATGCTGTTCTTGGTTACTTGCTGAGCTGGCCCTGCTGTCACTTGTAGCCATCTCAATAGAAGAAGTTTGCTAAGTGAAGCCCCAAGAGACTTCTTGTGTGGTCACCACATGAGAACATATTCTTCCAAATAACCACAAGCATTACACATCGTGACCACTGCAAACTTGCTCAAGACTTGAAAATTTGGTGGAGCCCCGCTGACTTGGCTGATGGAAACAGCCACAAACACCCCAGCTTTGAGGCCTGGGGGAAGTTGTCACTACAGTTCGATTTTGTTCCATCAAGCAGTGCTGATGAAGGGGAAGGTGAACAGCTATGGAGGCAGAGGACTCAGGGAACATGGCTATGGCACTGGGTTCATGGTCATTCTTTGAGGATCTCTTTTCTGCCTCATTTTCCTCCTTTGGGACCTGGTGGGGTGCTCTGTTCTGATTATGTCACATAACTCCTTCTTCCCTATGGTCAGGAGCACCTCTAGGGGGGCCCTTTGTGCTGGATGAGTCCCAGGCTGGCACCTTGCCCACAGGTGAAAAAGAGGATGGCAGGGGAGAGCCCACCCTACCTGGGACTCAGCCCTCCATAGAAACATCTGGGGTTTTGCTCCACGTGTAAAGGTACCCTTCCTTCCAAAAACCCATCTAGGACTGTGCTGTGGAGAGGCTGTGGTGATCCCTGGTACACAAGCATTGGCATGCCTTACTGGAGACAGGTTCTTTACGTTCTCTCTTATATTAGAGACAGGTTCTTGGGGAAAGAGAGAAACAGATGGGGCCCTTTAGCTTCACCTTAGGTTCTAGACTTCTGGTTCATTCAGTATAGAATCATAGAATCCTTAAGGTTGGAAAACACCACTAAGATCACCGAGTCCAACTATCCACCCATCCCCACCATAGTCAGTGATCGTGTCCCTCAGTGCCACATCTCCACATCTCCACATCTCCACCTGCAGAGACAATGCCTCCACCACCCCCCTGGACAGTTTGTCAGTTCATGCTGGAGTTACCAGGAGCATTTGTAGGAGTAGGAAGAGAGAGAGCAGGGAATGGGTCTCACCATGCTGGTGGTGGGCCACCGTGGGCAATGGGGAGTGCCCTTGAGAGGAACAAGCCTCTTTGCTGGTGAAGTCAAATGGACATAAAATCTCCCGTGGTTATATGGGTGTTTTTTCTGTATAAACTTGCTAATTGAGTTGTAAAATAAAACTACAGCCTTTCCTCTCCAATTTCTGCTGCTGCAGCCGCGTGCTAATTTGGTTTTGGAAGGGGGCTGGTAGAAGGTGGCCCTTTGCCAGAGTGAAGTTATGCGCAGAAGGGTTTGCACTGGGAGAGCTGGGAGTGTGTGCTCTGAGCAGGGCAGGAGTTGGGGTGGTTCAGGCAGCTTCTGCAGCTGGGCTGGGCCGATGGAAATTGAAGAAAACCCAAAAGGGTTTGGATAAAGCTGCAATGGAGAACAGATGGGAAACTCCGGCACCTCCATGGATGCTGGGCAGTGGAGAGGGTGGGCTGTGGGACTGCACATCCAGGCAGGATTTGCTGTGTGCACACGTGCCTGTGGGGCCATGCGCTGATGTGGGTATGTGTGCCTGTTGTGAATGAATGTGTGCCCCAGTGAATGTGGCACTGTGTGGTGCTGCTCTGGGGCTGGAAAACTGGAGAAAAAGAAAACTCGGGTGCTCTGTTGTGTCCGTATCATTTTAATTTTTAGCAGATAGACTGAAAAAATGCGATGGCAAATCTAAGGCGCCCTGAATTTGGAGGAGCCTGGAGTTCCTTGTGTGTGGAATCATTGGAAGGGACCTCTTAGAGTGGGTAGGGACCTCTAAAGGCCATGTAGTCCAACTCCTGCAGTGGACAGGGACACCTGCTCCATCAGGTTGCTCAGAGCCCCATCCAGCCTGACCTTGAATGAATGTGTGCCTCCATTGGCACCATTTTTCACCTTTCACCATTCTCTGTGAAACTGTCTGCTCTGGAGGAATCCAGGAAGGAGGCTCCAACACCATTGCACTGAGCCCAAAAGTTCAAAGATGGACTTCTGAAGCTCATTACATCCTTCCCCTGGCCCTTTCATTCCTTTCCTATTGGGAAGAGAGCGCATGAGAAACTGGGAGCTCCACCTGGGGCACAGCCCATCGGGCAATTCTTTACTCAAAGAGAGGGGAGGCACTGACACAGCTGCCCAGAGTGGCTGTGGGTGCCCTATCCCTGATGGCATTCAGTGCTGGGTGGGATGGGGCTCTGGGCAGCCCAGTCTGGAGGGGGGCTATCAGCCCACAGCAGAGGGCTGGGTGATCTTTAAGTTCCCTTCCAACCCAAGCTACTCTGTGATTCTATGGTGCCACTGGTGGAGGTGGGACCGGGACAGCATGGGTCTCTTCTGCCTTTCCCCGTTGGGGAATGGCTGCTCTGAGCGTTCAGCCTCTGTGGGATGGTGATGTTGGTTGGCATTAGAAACCCACTGGCTGACAGAGCACCTGCAGGATGACAGCAGGAAGAAACGTGAGGGGCTGCAGTGATAAATGCTTGTGAGAAGAGTTTGGCTTTTTTTTGGGGGGGGGGAGGAAGGGAAGAGGAAAAAAAAAAAAAAAAAAGCCGTGTTTGTTTTGGCCAAACGTTTACATTCCTTCCAATAAATCATTGCGGCACTTGTTTTTGTATTTGCGGAGAAATCGCAACAGACATAAGCAGGGACTTAAGAGACTTGAAATAACATCCCGGTAAATACCCAAGTTGTTATTTTAATCGAGGCCCGAGGAAACATCTGAATTTTACCAAGGAAACCCTCCTTGGTGCGGTGGGGGGAAACATCACCCGCGCCCGCCCGGGGCTTTGTTCCACCGCGGGGCGGAATTACCGCTCGGAGTCCGCTCCTCGGGGCCGCCCCATCGCCCCAAACGGAGGGGAGGGGGGCACCTTGCGTACCGCGGGTCGGGGATCCCTACCCGGAACGTGTGCCGCGAGATAGAGGTGCGGGGCGTGAAACAGAGCCGGGGAGCGAGGGCAGCGCTCCAAAGGAAATAAGTAAAGGCCGGAGGCGCTCCCCGCCCAAAATAAGGCCCGACGAGAGCGACCCCGCAGCTCGGGGAGCCGTCGGAGGGCCGCGCTCCGACCCGCGGCACGCCGCGTCGGGAGCACTGAGCGCGGCCACGGGACGCGCGCGGGGGGCGGACCGGGGCGCGGGGGCCCCCCCGGCTCTCACCTGCGGCCGAGGGCGGGGCGGGGGGCGGGCGGCCGGCAGGGGGCGCCGCGGGCGGCGGCGGGAGGCGGCCGGCGGCGGCGGCGACGACGGCGGCGGCGGCGGCGGCGGGCGAAGACGATGTTCAAAAGCGGGCGGGGAGCGGCGGCGGCAGCAGCACAGCGTCGAGCGCCGCGCCGCCGCCATGCGCCTCCGCGCCGCCGCCGCCGCCCTCTGCCTCTGCCTGCTGGGCGCCTGCCGCCTCCGCCGCGGGCCGCAGGCCGCCGCCGCTCCCCAGCGACCCCCGGCAGCCGCGCCTTCCTCCTCCTCCGCCTCCTCCTCCTCCTCCTCCTCCGCCGTCGCCGCCGCCTCCCCCTTCTCCTCCCCGCCGCGGAGGGACGGGGCGCTCCGCAACGGCACGGTGGTGCCGCACCGCTACATGGTGACCCTCTACCAGCGCCTGGCCGCCCGACGAGGCGCTGCCGCCCGCCCCGTCGGCACCGTCACCGGCTTCGTGGAGCGGCTGCGGGGCGGTGAGTGCGGGGCCGGGCGGCGAGAGGGGGAGCGCACGTCGGGGATGTGCGCGGGACGGGGATGGAGATGGAGATGGAGATGGAGATGGAGATGGAGATGGAGATGGAGATGGAGATGGAGATGGAGATGGAGATGGAGATGGAGATGGAGATGGAGATGAGCGTCGGTTGGGACGGGGCAGCGCGCTTGAATGGAGCCGTGAGCGGGACGGGACAGTGCGTGGGGATGGAGCTGCGTGGGGATGGGGCTACACGTGAGCCCGGCGGGGCAGTGCGTGGCTGTAGGGTGCGGGTATGAGAAGGGCTGGGTGGAAGCAAGCGCGAGGCAGAGCTCCGATCCTCTCCCACCCGTGGCGTTGCCCATAGGGATGCGCCCACCGCCGGGATCGGGGACGGCACTGCGGCTGCGGTGCCCCGCGTTGGGTCTGTGTTTCTTTGCCCCATTCGTACCCGCGGATCCGATGATTTTGAATTGAGCAGACACACATCGATCTATTTTTTCTTTTTTTCTCCCATGTGCGCTTACACGCACTGTGTCGTCCCGACAAAACTTTTCGCGGGGTGAAAAAAATAATTAAATCAGACCCTCTTGCCATCCCCAGATGGAATACAATGGGAAGCCGAAGGGAACGGCTGCTCCCGGCTCCCTCTGTGCCCGGATTCCCGCAGCCTCTGTACTCTGCCCGGCAGCGGCACTGAGGTTCAGCGGGGGAGCAGCCGGGCCGGGGCGGGGGGAGATGCTGCGGGGTGAGCTCTGCGAAGGGATCCCGTTATCCGGCCCCGCTGGAACTGCAGATTTGCTTTAAAAGAAAATAATAATTATTATTATTGTAAGAAAGGACGGGGAGAAAGCTGTTTCCCAGCCGCAGCGCGGCTGCGAGTCGGGGAGAGTGCGGGGCTCGGGCACGGCAGCGTGCAGCGGTCCGGTTTCTTATTAGAGAGGAGAAAAGAAGAAACCTCAGACCTCATTCATCTCCCCTTCTCTCACCCCCTCCAGCTCTTCTTTTTATTTATCTATTTCTTTTTAAATTAACATCTGGTGTATCAACGGTGCCAGAAACGGCACAATTCTGCATTTGGGCTGTGCGTGCACCCCATTGGACTCAGTGATCTTTACGAGTCCCTTCCAACTCCGGGTATTTGCTGTTTCTATGAAAAAAAAAAAAAAAAAACAGGGACAGATTCAGCTTCTGGAATGCGCCCGTGGCAGACACCCCGAGGCAGCACCCAGTGCCTGCAGGGGACAATGGGATTTCCCCTGTTCTTTGCTGGGGGGACGCGGGGAGCGGGAGGGCACTCGCTCGGAGCCATCCCTCCGACCCCTCCTTCCCTCCCCGTTCTTTTTCCGCCCCTGAACGCTATGACACCGCCGGGACAGAGGGGCTGTTTCCCTCCCGCCGGGCTGCTCAGCCCTTCGCCCATTGCTACCATTCACTGCTTGTCCCGCGCACCTCCGTTACGAGCGCTCGGCTTATCCTGGCTGGGTTTGATATTGTGCCTTTTTTTTTTTTTCTCCTTTTCTTTTTTCTATTTCTTCTAATTTTTTCTTCTTCTTCTTTTTTCCTCTTTTTCCCCCCTTTTTTCTCCTCCTTTTTTTTTTTTTTTTCCTGTGTTCTTTTTGTATTTTTTTTCTTGTTCTTTTTGCATTTCTTTTTCTTTTCTCCCTCCCAGATGCCTCCCCGTCCGCCCCCGAGCAGCGCTACCTCTTTGACATCTCCAGCCTGCCCGAGGCAGAGGAGGTGACGGGCGCAGAGCTGCGGGTCCTACGCTCCCTCCCTGCAAACCGCAGCCTGGCCCTGTCCCCCGAAGGCACCTTCCACCACCTGCTCCTCTCCGCCTGCTCCGGTCGGGCCGGCGAAGAGCCCAGGCTGCTGGACTCCAGAGCAGCCGATGTTCTGGATGCAGGCTCCAGATGGGAGGTGTTTGACGTCTGGGAAGCGCTTCGAGACCGCAGGGAGAGGCCCCCAAAGGGCAAACTGCTGTGCTTCGTGCTGAGGGTGGTGTCGGATCGCTCGGGCCGCCTCCTGCCCCCTCGGCAGCTGGGATTCGGCAAACCCCATCCGCAGCCCCTCGAGCGAGCGCTGCTCGTGGCCTTCTCCCGCACCCAGAGGAAGGAGAACCTCTTCAAGGAGATCCGGGAGAGGATGAAGGTGCTGGGCGGCCCTCCCTTGCTGGAGCCTCCTGATCCCGGCCGGGAGGCGTACCCCAAACGGAGGAAGAGGAGGACCACCATCGCTGCCCGCTCCGGGGGTAAAGGCCATGGGAAGAAGGCGAAGACGCGCTGCAGCAGGAAGCCCCTACACGTCAACTTCAAGGAGCTGGGCTGGGACGACTGGATCATCGCCCCGTTGGATTACGAGGCGTATCACTGCGAGGGGGTCTGCGACTTCCCCCTGCGCTCCCACCTGGAGCCCACCAACCACGCCATCATCCAGACCCTGATGAACTCCATGGATCCGGAATCCACCCCCCCCAGCTGCTGCGTGCCCTCCAAGCTCAGCCCCATCAGCATCCTCTACATAGACTCCGGGAACAACGTGGTGTACAAACAGTACGAGGACATGGTGGTGGAGACGTGCGGCTGCAGGTAGCAATTTCTGCGGCTCTTCCCCACCCCACCATGCCCCATTTTATATATAAATATATATATAATATATATATACGTACACATTTTGGTGTGTGCCTTTCCAAGAGCCCCCTGTCCCCATGGGCTGCCCCGAAGGGATGGGGAAACCCTCTCTGTTCCTTTCTCAAAGTTTTGGGGCTTTCTGCATCGCCCTCGGGTTGGGGCGGTGGGAGCTTTTCTTTCTGCATGTAAGGACACCTCTTCAGAGCATCTGGGGAGAAGCAGAGTCCTGAGCTCCCCAGGGATGAGCTGCTTTGCTTGGGTTCTTATTTTTCCAAGTAATTGCTATAAAAAGGCCGGGCTCCAATCCACCTCCCTTTGGCAGCAGCTCCGTTCCTCCCTGCCTGCCCTAAGGGAGCCCGCATCCTCTGGGCAGAGACATTTAACTTGCAAAGAGCAGAGCTGAGAGGGCTGCAAATTGATAGGAGATGGGCTTAAATTGTGCCTTGAACCCCAAGAAGCCTGGTATCAATTGTGGGATGCTGCCAGGTGGCTTTCTTTACTGAGCTGCAGCTTTGTGGCTCTGCTTAGGTCAGGGATGGGATAGCTTTGGGTTTGATGATTTGGTTTTTGTTGGTGTCCAAGTTGTTGCCTTTTAAATATCAGTACTCAGCTATGGAAGTTTGCTTTTGGGGAGATCAATCCCTGCTGGAAAATGTTTATTTTTTTTCTATAAAGCTCCTCATCCTCAGAGATGTCTGAACAAAGGGCAGGCAGCCTCCCAGCCCCAGACCACTTCCTTGGGCAGAAGAGAGCACCCTGCTCTCACCCAAGCAGCCCCCGCTGAGACAATAAGACATCAGCGGGGCTCCCATCCTGTGTATCACTGCAGAGAGGTACCCTGTGGGACAATCCCAGTGTCTCTCCGTCCTCATCCCCAGGACTCCAGCAAACTTTATCCAACATCCCTAACAGCTCTTGTCCCACACCCTTAGCACAAGCATCAATCAGAGTGGGGGGATGCTGGCCCTGCACTGTTCCCAAGCCCATCAAGCTTCCACATACCTGGCTCTTCAATCAGTGATGGTCTCCAGGTAGCTTTCCTCACTGCTGAAACATGTTTTCCTTTTTTTTTTTCTCCTTTCCTCCAAATATTTGCTGTAGAGGTTTGTGGGCAGTTCAGTAGTTATATATACATACAGTTCCTGACAGCCCCACAAGTGGCCCCAGGCCCCTTCTTGCAGGACACAGAACCATGTCCACATTTGTGCTCCAGAGAGCAAAATTCTGGCTCGGTCACTGCAGGTTTGCAGCCTGGATCAACTGCAGTAAGGGAAAATGGGGAGGTCTGGGGAGAGCACCAGAGGCTGCTGCTGGCGGCAGTGCTGTCTGTGGATTTGCCCATTTGGGAATTAATTGCCACTCTCCCCATTGGGCACCTCTGTTTTTTGGCAGAGAGCTCTTCTTTGGGCAGCCTGATGTGGGTGGCAGTCCTGCCCATGGCAGGAAGTTGGAAATAAATGATCTGAAGTCCCCCTCCAACCTATGCCTTTCTATGACTCTATGATAGGTGAGGTTGGCTCCTGCCAGGATATGCTCTCTGGGGTATCACTGCCAGGACCTGTAAAGGCATTGAAACCACCCTGTGAAGAGGTATTCCTGATCCATCTCCTCTTGCTTGAGCTGATTGCTGAGCAGTATAAACAGGAGACGAGAGGCTGAAAGCAGACAAAGGTAGATTCAGTGGACTCGGAACGATTTGAATGAATAATTGCAGGTTCCCAATCTGCTGTATTTATACAGCCTTTCCAGGAAAAAAGAGATGGGAAAAAAAAAAAAAAAAGAAAGAAAACCGAAACAGTTTCCATGCAGAGTATGTTCTCCTGGAGGATTTGTCTGACCTTCAGCACCATTTTTATCTGCAGGATGTAATTACAGCAAAGCTAGAAATAGCAAGCATCTGGAAAGGGCCGTGTACCTGTGCTTGGTGCTCCCTCCCCTCCTGTGTGGGGCAGCAATGACTTAGGGACAGGAAAAAGCTGCTGAGATCCAAAAAGGCTTTGACAGCACTGAGCTGGGACTCAAGGTGCGTGGTCAGGCCAAGGCTGGTGCGTGGAACCTGTGTGTAACACCAGAGCCTGTGCTTCCAGCACCGCTTCACTGCATCCTGGAGACCACAACCCACTGGGGTCCTGAAGCAGGGGCAGATGGAGCGGCGATGTCCTCCTGGGCTGTTTGCTGATGCTTGGCACACCCGTGAGGAAAAGTCTGTCCACCCCAAGCTGCCTTCTGCTCAGAGCTGAGCGGCAGCCGCTTCTGCGTGCGTTCGCACCATATGGATTTTAGCTCACATCTTGCTCGTGTGGCTCTCGCTGCTGGGGAGAGCAGGGAAAGGCCAGCAGTGATTTATTGGTCACACTCCCTTTGCAAAGCAAGCAGCCACTTCTGCTGCTGGCAGCCTCAGGGCTCTCTCCCACAAACCCTGAAGTGTGTGTTTAGTGGTGGTCACCCTGCCAGCTCCCCCAGAACCGCAGGCACGGGGAGCTCTCTGCCCCTCCTGTCCTTAGTGGGTCTCTGCTGAACCACGTTGGTGCATCTACTATGTTGTACCAACCATAAGCTAGTTTATCTTTTCCATGACAAAACCAGCTGCAGTCAGCCTCCGAAGCTCCTTGTTCCTTTAGTGCCTTGCTGCATACATGAGAATGCACAGCACTCTGGTATTCATATTGTATCAGCAGTTGTCCTGGATGTTCAATAAACTATCAAAATCTGGAACTCCTGCTGGTGGAGGAGGACCAACAAAGAGCCCATCCTTCATCTCTGAGGATGTTTTACAGCCTCAGGATATTTAGGTTGTGCTGCTGCTCTCCCTTCTGCTGGCACCACTATTAGAGCAATCCTGAATTTGCTGTGCTGTAAGGAGCCTGGGGGAAGGCATGGGAATCATATCATATTGTAGAATGGCTTAGGTTGAGGGACAACTTAAAGCCCATCCAGTTACACTGATGTGGGCTGATTGTGCTCCACCAGATCAGGCCGCCCAGGGCCCCATCCAACCTGATCTTGAACACCTCCAGAGAGCATTCATAGCTTCTCTGGGCAGCCTGTTTCTGAAGGCTGAGGCCTACCAGCATGAGTTGCAGACATGGAGCCACCAGGCTGTGGGTCTGGCTGGGCTCATGGTGGAGAGAGTAGAGTTCCTGCTCACACATTCAAATGTTTTCCCAATAGCAGATGGAAGCATTTGGGTCTTCTCACTGCTATGATGTGTTATGAACCTCCACTGATGTCTTCATTAGCAGAGCAATAATGGAAATATGGAGCTGGTTAGGGCCTGGCCACTCTGGGTGCTGTGGAATTGGCTTTGAGCTTGGCTATGGGGAGAGATGGCTGTGTTCTCCATAGTGCTGTTCCACATAGAAACTTTTCTGCTCCCACAGCCCAACCTTGAAGAATCATTACGGTTGGAAAAGATCTTTAATATCAATTAGTCCAACTGTTCACCTACCATCAATATTGCCCAATAACCACATCCCTGAGAAGAGAGAGGAGGGGAGCAGGAGGAAAAGACCAAGAGCCCCAGCTGAGGGCTGAGAACTCACACTGGCTGGGCTGGGAGCTGTGAGGTGTTAGAGAACTTCCATGGGGCAAGAGAAGGGATTGCACCAGGCTCTGGTCATTGAGGAGGTGCTGAAGTGATGTGGTCCAGTTGACTGTGATCAAGTGAGAGTGGGGCACCTTCTTTGGGCAGTGAAAGGTGATCATGCAGGTTTAATTCACCCCGTGTGCTGTCAGTAGGTTAACCTGTAGGATTAAATAGTGCATAAAAGAAAGATCTGAGCATCTGAAGTGCCGTACCTTTGTAAATCAAGCTCTTGGCCCTGTGGTTTGGGGGCTGACTCCAAAGGCCTTTCTGTGCATGGAACAGCTGCTCTATTTGTGGTGCTCCCCAGCTTAGATGCAGCCTGGGGCAATGTCAGTCCTTGTTTATCCAGTCTGCTAAACTAGCACCTATCCTACCCTTGCCCGTTCTTTTTCTGAAGTGAAGACTATCTGGAGCTCTTTTTATGACAAAATGAGCCTCTCTGCTGGTCAGTCATGGTTTTATTTATGTCTTATTTTCTTTGGTTAGAAAGGAAAATATCAGTAAATGAAAAAGGACTCAAGTTTCCAATAGCCGTATCTGTAGTAGTTAATTTTTTTGAAGCAATACTTGTATCCCTGTGTGTGCCTCTAACCTTTCCATGTATTTGTTCAGCTTTGTCAGGTCTGAGTGTGAAATATCTCTGAGAAGATAGCTCTGTAAGTGATGGTGTAAATGCATTGTTTGTATGTATTCTAAAGTTTAAATGGATTGTACATATTGGATTGTAAATGAACTGTAAACAGCAATCTATATTTTCTTGAATATATTATATAGCAGTATATATTTGTTAAATAAGTATTCTTGTATACTCTTCAATAACCTTTTTAATATTTTGTACAGATAAGTTTATTAAATATTTTATTGATAAATAGACCTCGGTGATAGTTTTTCTTTCTAAGCCTTGTGCCTTGTGCCAAAACCAGATGGCTCATTTCAGAGTACCTTTCCTAAGTCGCATCGGCTTCCTGGGCTATTGAAGTTACTAAGGCAAACAGTGAAAGAGCCGTTCATTTTACAGCACTTTCCTTGGCAAGCTCAGGTATTTTAGAAAGGGAAAAAAAATGGGAGCACACTGAGTGTTTGCAATGAGTTTCTCATCAGAAGAGGTGCATCCCTTTTCTTCCCTGTGTGTTTGAAAATACTTCTCCTGCCTTGGTCAGGAGCAACCCAGCTCCAGACAACCAAGCAGAGTGCTCTCCATTAACCTGAACACAAAAATGTAGGAGCTAAGGAACACTAAGTTGAAGGGGTAAATATGACAACTGGAAGAATCTCCCCTGCTCACACTGTGCTTGTGACCATACAAAACCCTTTGGATGGGTTTGACTTGAGCCCAGGTCTCTGCCCCGACAGGTGCAGAGGGAGTCCAAGGCGATGGCCTTCCTAAGGGAAGGGATGTACCCAGTTTACTCACACCTGGTGAAAACATCCCTCTGGGAAACGAGGATGAAATGTTGCATTTAAAAACTCGGGGAATGAAAAAGTTCGGGGAAAATGCAGTAGAAGAATATTTTAATTCCACTTAGATATCCCTGGTATGCATGATACATGTCTACTGCTCTAGAGATTAGATATTACTAAAATAGTATTTTTATTATACAGCTTCTAATTAAATATATGTTTTGTTTTTCTCTCACTCTCCTGTTTCTTTCAGTCAATCTTTCAAATATATATATATATATAATTTAAAAGCTTAATAAATCTCAATGGGATATGAAAACCTTCTGCATACTTAAGTGAACTTCAAAAGTTATGGGACATCCAGGACACAAGGCATCTGTAAGATTGGGTTGTCTCTGTGTGAAGCACATTGAGGGAGGGGCTATGAATAACTATGTGCCTTTTTTCTCATCCACTTTCATTCACAAGGACTTTCTAGGTGCAATGGCACCTAGTTTCAGGCTGAGCTTCGTTAGCATGGCTCCTGCAATGGACATTGCCATCAACAGTGAATGAATGTGACAGGGTTAAGACTAATCCCAGTACAAATCACACAGTAGTTGTAGATTTGGAGTAAGACACACTTGGAAGTGTGGAAGAAGTCTTCACGGCACCAGGTATAGGTTTCAGCCAAAACCTCTTCCCAAAACCAGAAGGAAATATGTGGAGAACTGATGATGGAGGTTTGTCTGAAGGACTCTGGAGTTAATTACTACAGTGGTGGTATTTCCCAGGCTTTCCCTTCACAGACAGATGGCTCAGCTGGAGAGAGAGGTGCTCCAGGGGTGCACGGGGTGACACACCAGGCACGAGTCATGGAATCATAGAATCATAGAATGGCCTGGGTTGAAAAGGACCACAATGCTCATCCAGTTTCAACCTCCCTGCTGCGTGCAGGGTCACCAACCAGCAGACCAGGCTGCCCAGAGCCACATCCAGCCTGGCCTTGAATGCCTCCAGGGATGGGGCATCCACAGCCTCCTTGGGCAACCTGTTCCTGTGCCTCACCACCCTCTGTGTGAAAAACTTCCTCCTAATATCCAACCTAAACCTCCCCTGTCTCTGTTTAAGACCATTCCCTCTTGTTCTATCATTATCCATCCTCTTAAACAGCCGTTCCCTTTTCTGTTCATATGCTCCCTTCAAGTGCTGGAAGGCCACAATGAGGTCTCCCTGGAAGGAGTCTGCTTATTGCACCCTCATGTAATTATTTGCAGTACACCTCTATGATGAGAGCAGATGATCTTAACACTTCAAAACATATTCTGTCAATGTTTTTCCCAATTCCAAGCCACCTGGTCTTCATACAGAAGGATTTACTCAGAGGATGGTGATGCACTGGAACAGCTGTCCAGAGAGCTATGGGTGCCCCATCCCTGGAGGTGCCCAAGGCCAGGTTGGATAAGGCCCTGGGCAGCCTGAGCTGTTGGGCAGCAAGCAGCCCATGGAAGGGGTTGGAACTGGGTGGGCTTTAAGGTCTCCTCCAAACTCCACCATTCTGTCATTTCACCTAATAAATGAAACATGGTATTTTAGAGCTGGGGACAGATTGTGTTAAAGTGAGTTTGATCAAGTACTCATCAGCAAGGGAAAGGAGGGGCACTCCCCTGCTGCCTCTTCCAATGTCAGTTGCTTCAAATGGGATGGCCAAAAATCTCCAGTATCGGACTGGCAAACACTGCACTGCAGGATGAGTCAGATGCCTTAGACAACACTCTGCGTTTCATTAGCTACTGCAAACTGCTAAGAAACCACAACACAAC